TATAGAATTATTTGAAATTGTATTAGAGTAAATTTTAAAGACTACCTTGCAGAAAATGTTTGATCTGTACATTTCTCGGATATTCTCGGAGAGCTAATACGATAGCTCGTATTAAGAAGTTAAGTCACTTACAATTAGATAGCAACTATCCTATTCAATTATTCAATTATCAGTATAATAAAATTCTCAAAAAGGTCTTAAAAATAAAAAAACAGTAAATGTGAGTGCACATATTGCTTGTAAAATACTGTCGTTACATTGCTTCACTGGCCTCAATTAACACATGATAATATTTTATGACAGTTTGGAATTAATAAAAAATCATTATATCTCTGATTAAAAGTGATCAATATGTTAAAAGGTTAAAATTATAAAATAAAAGCGTGACATCTCATTAAACATGTATGCACATGTTGCGAATTGCATTGAAACAATTACGTCCATTTTTCTTTATTGTGTATGTTTTACAAATGTCATAAAAAAAACTTAATTACTTGCATATTATTTTTATTATATTTTATTCTTGTTACATTTCTTTTATTTAACTTTAACCTGCATATATATTTTTCATTAATTTATATATGCTTTTCTTCAAAATATAACAACAAATTTCTACGTGACAAATTATTGTAGGAATTTATGAAAAAATATTTTATCGCAATAGCAAACATTATTTCGTCATTATTGCTTTATATATTATTTAGCAGTTATAGTTTTAAAATAATTTTATGAAAATGAATTGATGAAAGGCTTGTATTTCGTTAATTTTATGAACGTAATATAAATTATAAATTATATAGAAATTAAAAAAAAAAATATATATATATATATATAATATATAATGTTTTTTAAAATTTATTGGAAAGACTGACTAATTTACTCTTAAAGTAGTATAACGAAGGATAGATTTTAATTAGTAATTAGTAAAATTATTACACGTATTAGATAATAAATAATCGTTTCAATATCATATGTATTTTATATTGATATATATGAGGCTAAATCAAATTAATCCTGATGATCCACATTTTATCAACATCTTTTATATAGTGGATAGTTGATTTATCATCAGAGACGTGGGCACTTTCAATATTTAGTGCCAATATGCGCACTCATTCTAGCTACTATTTATCATACGATATAATCTAAATTGCCATCAATTTCTGTTTAGAATTTCTATTTCTGTTTCATTTTTTTTTCACATTTCTTTATATTTCTATTTTCATATTTATCTGATTCTTTCAACATACTAAAACATACTAAATATCGTTGAAAGCGACCTTTAATTTAGTAACGCTGAGATTTTCTATGTTAGATATTTGAAATATCGACGTAGGATTTGCATTTGTCTACATATATGCAACAGGAAAATATTGCGCCGGATCCGCAAATCCAGATGGTCATATTTAGTGCTTAGTGTAGTACGTGAAACCACATGGCATAAAGTAGGATGTACCGCTAGAGCTTATCCCGCGATTCCACGTGATGCATTCTTCCGCATCAGGGTGTAGCCACTTTAAAGCCTTCGAATGGTAGGTACATCGAGAAACGCGAGGAACGAGACAAAGCATTCGACCACCAAATGCGCGAATTGTTTCGCATTTCTGCGCACCGACTACTGCAAGGGAAACGATCGCATTTATCTCGGACCGCATGCAGAAGTATGAGAGTAATTTTCCCTCCTTTCGTACTCAATATTATAATTTAATAATTAAATTCGAGCTTCTTGCGCAGAGAAATGATACTTAATATCTCGCTAACGAAGAAGAGAAGAATCTCTTTCACTTAGAAATGAGGATGAAACAATCTCGTAAATAGTTTACAAATGCAACAAATTGAATCTTCTTGTATCATTTCACGTAATCAACTATTATTCGCAAATATTTTATATACATATATATATATATATATTATTATTTAATTTGCAACGCAATGCAGTGCTGTTTCAATAGATTGGAACAAATTACCCCACTAATGATAATTTAAATGATTTAGCACGCTTGTAATAAATTGATTCAATGTTATCGCGTGATAACATTAATGCAATTAATGAATTAAAATATTGCTGCGCGTTTTATGACGTATTTTTATTAAATCCTTGAAAAGTTGTAGTTATTTGTAATAACCTATACTGAGATCACACATAACATATATATACCGATGAGAGATATTTCAAAAGTAATGTAAAACTGGCAAAACATGCTTATATCGTATTGTTGAAAATAGTGAATGCAGAGAAAAAAAAATTTTGTTTGACTTTCTTTGATACACATGTAAATATTCTGGAAAGTCCCTGAAATGTAATGGCGCAGAGTAACATAAAACGTTACATAAGCGAACAATATCATTGCACAAGGGTACGCAGCGAGCGATTATTATTGGAATTTATTCGAAATGCGACTTGTATAATATACCTTCGCCGTTTGAAATATCGCATGGCTTATGCGATAAATAAAACTCTTGATATCGTATGACGTTGTTAATCCACTAATCGAATGATTAGTACACGAAAGAGATAATAGACGATACACGAATGCAAAATTAATGATAACGGGGATAAAAATTGCATCTATCTATTATTTCATACAATCAATAAAATTTATTTCAAGTAGCATTATCTTTGAGCACCCAATATACAAATATATTGAGCATTAAATTTCAATATTACGTTGCTACGAGAGCTCAATATGACGTTACGAGACTTCGCATGCCATCGGGCAACACATTTTTATTATATACTATTTACGATAATGCCAGCCATAATTTCGATATGTTTACTTTACAAGTGTTACGCTGAACGATGAAATAAGATTGGCCCCCTCGATTATATCTTATTTCGTCTCTTGACAAAATCACGACGGTTTGAGCAGCCACGTCGAAACGATCAGTAGACAATCTTATTGAAATTTTCGTAATTGAATAACGAAAATATCGATTTATCCTTATGCTAAAAAATGCAGGTTTCCTATGATAAAACTATATTATTAGTAGAACTAATGACAAAGAGAAATATATATATATATATATATATATATATATATATATCCTCTGATAATTTTATTTTCCAACTTTGTAATGTTTTTCTTACGTGAATCTCTTAGCTTGAAATATTAAAAGACGCATGTTTATAAACAAAAATTCAGAGCTGATTACGTGATTCTGAGTTTCAAGAAAAATAGTATTCAGAAATCGGATTTGATCCCCCACGATTTCTTTTATACGTCTTTTCCTTTGAATAAAAAATAATGTATATCTTTTATATAAGATAACATATAAAAATAAATGTAATATATAAGAAACATAATATTAATAATAACATATACAAAACGGCAATAAAATGTAATTTAAAAGATACAACAGATATTAATCTATAAAACATATAGATGTATAAAAGTTTGCATAACGAAGCCTTCGCATTTTGATATTATTTTATAAATGAACAATAAATAATTTTATTATCTTATAAAAAATAGAAAATTAGTTTAGCAAGTTAAAATGAAAATACCGTCAAGACAAAGAGGAAGAATGCATGTTACTCTATTTTTCTAATATGACGAAAAGGAATATTCTTTCTTTGGAAATTTCTTTACGAAGAAGGAAAAGAAAGAAGGCAAGTTTTGTTCAAAATTGTACGGCGTAATATCTAACTTTCAAGAAGGGAATATACAATCTACTGGAACGGCTAGCCTCGATAACTTTCGGATTGTGGTCGGTCGGGCTTGAAAGAAGCAGATTAGAAGGAATCCCACGTGGCAAATGAGGTTTGCTCGCCGCGTCGAGAAAATCTCACTTTACTGGCGAGAGCTAACGCGATTGTGCTATTGTTAACATTTTCGCGATTGCCCAGTTTCGTAAGGAAATAGCGTATTGCACACTCTAACAGATTTTACTTAAGGAATCGGTTAAGTCAATTGTTAAAGTACGAGTTTTGCTCGAAAAAATTTTTTCTACAAATATTTTTTTTCACGATGCAAATACCTTAAACAATGAGCATTAATTGCACAATATGTAATAATTTAAGATACACATTGACGTAAAAAAAAACTGTATATTTTTTTTATAAAAAGTAAAGTATTTAAAATTGAGTTATTTAAATGATTCTCTAGTGATAGAAAAAATGTTTCAGAAGTTGTTTGATCATAAAATAAATTAACTGTTGTGTAATGTAACAGAGTTTACTATCAAACTACTATGATTAATACTTGTGCCCCAAATAACGTTTTTTTTCTACAAAAATTTTTAAAGAAATATTTAAGTGATTACATAAACAAACATAATTAAAATGTCGTAACTGTCGTATCTTATTATGTTATCAATAAATATGTACACTGTTATCCTCATCAGCTTATAACTTACTGAGATAACAAGAATCCCCTTACGAACTGCTCGTTTATAACCTAATTAATTACGATAGTTTATATATATAAAGTATAAGGAGAATAAACAGAACATGAGATAATCTGTGAGAGAAGAGAAAATGTTCTGGTTTTTAATGGATATTTAAACTGAAAAATTAGGAACCCTAAATTCTTTTATGGCTTAATGCCAAATTTATGAATGTGAAACACCTATATTTTAATGTCAGGAAACATGTTTGGAGACTCTTAGTATTTAATATTATTCATTATATAAAAAGGTTTTTGTGTTGTGTATTAATTAAACTTGACTCGAATAATGAAACTTTAAAGACATTCTTTATAAGACCTTTCTACCTCAATTTCGGAAATGCGCAGAATTTAGAATTAACGCAAGAATTAGAATTATATTTACAGTTGTTAGACGGAGTACTTGACAAATTTCTCTCGCTAAAAAATCATATATCAAGAAATTACATTGTAGATAAAAGTTTTAACTGTTTCTACCTTTCTCATTTGTTAGTTCAATTTTCACATGTCAAGAAATAATAACAGTAAGTTGTTGAAACTCATCTCTACGGATACATTCATTTAATTATTAACTCTTATCTCTTGACGATATTGCAGAAGTTTTCTCATGTATACTTCTGTAAGCATATATCATCATGCAGTCGTGAGTGTAGAGTTGAAGAGAGCGGATCTCGAAAGTTTACATAAGTGCTGTTATATCTTCCATACGACTTTTTTTCTTTCCGGTTATTCATCAGTCGAAATAAACCAATTCTGCGATATGACTTGGAGCACATCTGCGTATATCTACCTTCTACTTTGCATCTTTTGCTTTGCAACATCAGTGGAAAGTAATAGCAGGAAGATTGATGATATACGTGATATACGTCGTAATCTTCTCCATCTATGTTAAACGTATTTTTGCTACACAACGTGTCATCGTATATCTTCCAGTTGAACGCAATCTTTGTCGGCATCATGCGAACAATATTTTCCTTTTGTTTAATGGGTTTTTTCATTTCAAAGAAAAAATTTTCACGCACGTAAAGATATTACGTTGTTTGCATTATTAACTAGAAAATTGTAATTAATTATGTTATCGTAAAAAGCAAAAGTTGAAAATTTAAAAATTATAAATAATGTGAAAGATATAAAATATCAAAAATCAATGTAATATAATAGTAAAGATTACATGATAAATTTTATAATTTTACAGATGCAGATGAAATTGACGCAAGTAAAATTCTTCTGTCTTTTTATACATGGTACTTATTACTTGTGTGATCTTATCACACATTAATAAATAATGTTATACTTGCTTACTTGTACTTAATTCAAAAAATAACATGCTTTATTTTAAAGAATTTATATATATATATAATTATATATATTTTTAAGAGATTTTATATATATTAGTTCAAATATTTCAATAAATATTTGAAATGCCAAGAATTTTTTTGAAAATTAATAATGTCCTGTGCATCTAAAAAATATTATTTATTTCTATTCTGCACTAATGAAGTAATTAATTATGTCATTCGATTCATATAGTAATTCATATTTCAGCAATGCTACGAATGAGACATCAATTGATTGTCTCATACAAGATTTAAATTGTATAGAAAATGCATATAAGCTGATAAATAAAGATAAACGTGAAAGCACTGTTTTCATTCACGGATATCACCGGAACAAAGAGCCTATTCAAAACATTATATCAGGTATCGATTAATAATAAATTTTTTCCATACACCATCGTATGCCATCGTTTAAAATTGACTTGCACATGAATTTTTTTGTGGAAAGACTTTAATTACTGAAATCATAAATTATTGATGAAAATATTTTACAAAAAAATAAGTATGTAAATTTCATTATTTTACGTATGTATATACGCAACCCAAAAAGTCTCTCCAAATTTTTATTAATAGTTGTAGATTATACTCGACAACATTTAAAAATGAAGAAAAAAAATTTTTTTAATTACATATTGATCTGTAGTAATTATAATATATACGATTCAGTCACGCCATCAAGTATCAAATAACATATCATAATTTTTTAATGTTTTTATAAAACATTAGTAAATGAGTCACAGCTAGTGCGATAGTAACAACTCGATATTTCAGTTGCTTTTATCGTTGCGCTATTAAAACTGCGTTAAGATCAAGCTAAGTGCGAATAATCACAAATTAAGAAATTGAGAAACGAGCGTAGAAAAGCGTTAATTTTTTAAAATTTTTTATAAAATTATTATTAATTAATTAATTAGTTAACGCTTCTTCGCCGCTATTTGTTTGATGAACTTGGCTTTACACACGCTAGAATTAATACAGAAAATTTCTAACGTATAACCGATTATGTAATACAGACAAAGTACAGATTATAAATTTGTGCTATCCGTTTGATGAACTTGGCTTTACACACGCTTACAGAAGACTTAATACAGAAAATTTCTAACGTAGAACCGATTATGTAATACAAATAAAGTACAGATTATAAATTTGTGACGCTATTAACAAAAAATTGCATATATCGATAACGTGATTGAATCACCCACGTATTATAATCCTTATTATATTAAATAATCTATTTTATTATATAAATTATAAAAATTACTTCATCTCTTTAATCAAGACTGCGTATATTTATACGCCAAATTAAAAGACAAAAATATGTGCGCGCAATACATATTATAAGTATATAAATTAAAATTTATCGATCAATAACCAAATTAGTAGTGTATTGACATGTTTCGTGTTTCTTTAGCGTATTGCTCGCGAAATATCTCTACCATTGCATTACTCGATTGGACCCAACTGCAACCAGAACAAGTTAATCTTATGGTTACTAATTGGACATCTGCGATCGGAAGAATCGTCGCGTCTACTTTCGATACGTTAAAAAATAAGGGTTACAATGTAGAAGCGTGGCACCTCATCGGACATTCTATGGGTGCTCATATTGCAGGTTGTATCGGAACATATACCAATTTTTCTTGGTTACATATAACAGGTATGTTGCACAATAGAAGACTCGTATTACCTCTGTCTACGGATATATACATTTGTTTATTTTCGAGACTATATATCTATAACTGAAATTGTTGCAAACTGCGATTGTTGCAAGTTAGAGTTAGAGTTGTTATTATATACAGTAAATTACATGTATATATTGATGAATGCAGGTTTAGACCCCGCGGGTGTTGTCTTTTACACTGACATGTACGAGGGTTGTCAAATCAATCCCGATGTCGCAAACTTGACTGATATATTTTACACGGATGGCAATGGGTACGGCACCATCAGGGAAGTAGGCACTCTCAATATTTATGCCAACACCGGAACAGCACCGCAGCCTGGCTGTTGCTCGTCATCAAATATACAATGTAATTCAACTTGCTATATTTTTAACGTTTTGTCCACAATTTTTTTTCCGCGTTAATACTAAATGTGGCCATTAAAAATCTCAGTCCTAACAATACCGAGATGTTTTCATATTCAAAAAAAAAAAAATATGATGTGGGATTTGCGTTTGTTTACTGTAAAGATTACACATAAATATTGCAGCGAATCTCAAAATGCAAACGTCATATTTAATGCTTATTGTAATACGCGACTATGCATCATGCGATTTCACATGGTATAAATTTTTGTGCATCAGGGTGTGGCCATTTTAAAGCGATCGAATGGTATGCCGATGCCGTGAGGAATGAAACGAAATATTCGGCCATCAAATGCACGAATTGTTTTATATTTTTGCATTTTTACGATTATTGCGAGAAGAATAATCGCGTTTATCTCGGACCGCATATAAATGAGAAAGCGTAAGAATCATTTTTTTTCTCGATTCTCCTTCTTTTATTTCTACACGATTTAATAATTAAATTCAATCTTTTTGCAGAAGTGGCAATTACTGCCTCGCAATCAATTAGAGAACTCTTCTCGGGATGAAGATAATATGGTTTCATAAATAATTAACAGATAATTAACTGAAGCTTTTGCTATCACTTCTTGCTTTAACTTAACGAATTGTTATCATAAACTGTCATAAAACAAAATTTTCAAATGCAATGCAGTAAACTTCAAACAATATGCTGTTTAAAAATTACTTTTCTAATAAGAATTTAATTCGTTATTCAGTGTTCTTGATTTACATTTATGTAATTAATAGATTAAGAATAAAATTTTATCTTTCACGATATATTTTTATCGAATTCTTGCTTCAAACATATGATTATATGATTACATAATAAACATTAATTAAATATATGTACGGAATCTTTTACGTAATTCCGATAGATTTTGTAAGACGCCAGTCTTACAAATGATAAATCTTGATAGATTATGATCTGTTAGGTTTGAAAGGAAAAAATATTTGAGCAGATTAGAGAGAATTTCGCGTGGCAAATAAAGTTTTCTTGTGGCGACGCGATGATTTTGCCTTATTAGCGAGTAAATACGATTTATAATTCCACTACCGTCAATATTCTTCAATTGCCGAGTTCCTTCCGAGCAAACAGTGGACAGTGAAATTAATTATATAAACGAATCGCTTTTATTTGAGAAAATAAATAATTGAATTTAAAAAATATATTTATTATACATTATATATTTGTTTTACGTTTTTCAAAAATTTATTCGAATGGTTTTTGTAATTTTAAAATAGATTTTTAATAATTGAAATTTTTTATTTGCTTTGACATTATTAAGTTTTAATATTATTTTATGTAATTATTAAAGTATTTAATATTGAATATTAGAAAATTACATAGAAGAGATTGCAAGAGTGTTTAATAAAATGTATCATCATTAAAGATATTATCTTTTTGAGTCTTAATATTTTAACAGTCTAAACTAAATATCTAGACCTCGAATAAATTTTTCTGATATAGTCCTCATAAACGTTTGAACTCTGAGACTTTTTATGGATGAGCTTTTTTAAAGGCTCATATAACGTGGACAATATTTTTTTACTCATTCCCCTGTGCTTTACGTAGAAGATTAGTGAACCAAGGCACACAGTCCTTTACAAGAAATATACATAGAAGAGTTTTAAAATTCTGAACCAAAGGTAGAGAAGCAATGAAGAGGGACATAAAAGAATTCCCTCGAGGATCTTTAATAATTCTGGCAAACACGTCGATATTCGATTCAAGATTTAATTGTAAGATTTGGTGGTTTGTCATTTGGTTCTCTCTTTTTTCTACTGATCTTGACCATTCATGTCATGATGGGGCGAGTTATTTTCTCGCAATCAATATATGAAGCTGCCTTCAAAGTGATTTATTTTACAACCATCGCACTATTGGCCTCTTAAACTATACAGGTACGTTAGAAACTATTTCCGCTTCATGATTTTCATTTCTTCCTATAAATCAACTTTTAAACTCTTTTCCAATATCTTTTAAAATTCGTGTGACGACTGTTTTTTCTCATTTATTCCTTCCGTTCTTTATATTAACCAAATATATAGAAACTAATTTGAAGACTTATTTTCTAAAACAACTTTTAAATCATAATGTATCATAGTATGATTTGAACGTATATTTGAATGTATGTGTATATATAACCGAAAGTTACTCTCAAAATGTAATACTTTTGAAAGTTGAATTCTCTTTATGTGTATCTTTCGATCAATAAATTTTTTTTTATTTTTTAGTATATAAAAGTAATATTAATATACTAATTGTAAGTTGAACACTTTGACGGTTTCATTTTTTAATAAAAACCTTCGCGAAAACTTTCGCCGACATATTTCGTAATCTTATTAAATCCTAGTTTTTTCAAATCTGTGTTTATAATAATATGTATTACGCTAATTAAAAATATTTTTAAAAAACCTTTTATGTCCGATTTCGATAAATAAAATAGTATATCGTTTTATCTAAATAAAATAAAATTTTGTTTCATTCATTGTTTTCAAATATTTTAGAAAGCTTAAATTGTAACGTGATATAAAAATCTACTTATATAAAAGAATATGTTTTTTATGTAAGTAAAGAATATCATCGTGAAAAAATTTCCTCAGTTTAAAATATCATGTAGTTTACATCGCGAATAAGTGGATTTCTCGATATGCATATGTTTGCTGGAAATATACATTTTATATGCGGGAAACGTCGTTAATCGAGTTATTAACGGAATTAATATAATGCAAAATTGACGATAACAGAAATGAGAGAGAATGCAAAAACAAGCGATCAACAAAAGTGTATAATACACACACATTTACATATGTATACATATACATATATACATACAGACCTGTAATTAATAACTTTAAGTTGATTAAGCGAAAAAAGAGATAATATTACCAATAGAAATCAATGCCAAGTACCATTAATAAAAATGTATAATGAAACAAGGTAAATTCATCGATTAAAATATGTAATATTTGTGCAATGTTAGATATTTAAAACATTATTGTGCGCGTTGCAAAACGCGCAATATTGTTCAATTGTTCAATATGGAAACGCAATAATCAAAAGCATCATTGAATGTAACGCTGAATAAAAAAATCCAATATTGGTATCCCTATTTGCGATAGAAGAATCACGTAAAATGCGCAATAGAAAAAATGTATACAGGAAATAGAACTAAACATCTAAACTTTCCATACAAAGTCATTTTTAATACATTAAATTTATAGCTCTTTGGTACAGAGAATTATTCTTGAGTTAATATATTAAAATAAAAATAAATTGATTTATATTGCTTCATAGAAGACGTATAAATATTTGTAGATATATGTATATATAATTTTGTATAAAAAAAAAACTCTAAAAATTTCTCAACTGCAGCTTTTTGCTCATTTAAAACAAATACAGTTTTATATATGATGTTTTTATTAATTTATTATAAATATCTAAAAAATTGTGAAATTATGATAAATATCCTATATACATATAGGATATATCCCGCAACGATCGTATAATATTTTAAATATATTTTCTAGATTAATATAAAAAAATGAAAAAATAAAAAAATATAACACAAAATTTCTGGATTATAAGAAATAAAAAATTTTGATCCTATGTAATGCATGCACTTTCCTTGTGTTGAATAGACAATGTAGCATAGGTATGTCTTGATTTCTATATGAATGACTGCATCTGATAAGTCATATAGCATTATGCGCTTTTAATGCGAAATTCGTAGGCAAATTACATTAAGTCGGTGAAAAATTCAACACGCGATGCAAAATACACTGGAATTTAAAATTTAAAAAAATGATCTTCGATATACATATGTATCATGAAACAATAATTTATAATTGCTATTCCCTCAAATCTCCTGTTATTTCGATTTTTACTTCAAATAAGTAAATCACGTGAAATATCTGCTTCGATAAATAGTATCGCAGCAATACGCTTACGAATCATTAATCATGAAAATTGATTCACCGCGTGTGCCAATAATCGTTTACATTAATTGTTGACAAGGAATGATCGCATTTCGGAAAATAATAATGTGACGATGTAGTAATACGATTCATGAAATTGTTTGCGAGCCCGAATATTATCACGCAATAAGTTAATGATATAAGAAGAATATTATATATAGCATAAGAAACATCATTAGCCAAATTTAAATTATATAAAAATAAGAAAATATAATAATTAAACAATAACTATAATAATTATATAGAAATAATTTTTTTTTTTTTTGTTTAGATTAATTTCAATATTTTAAGATTAATTTTTCAGATTAATTTCGATAAAATAACTCATTATCGTACATTTTCGGTTTTATTTTGCATCTTATTTTAATGATTAATTCCACTGCACAAAAGACAAACTTGCAAATTTAATATTTACTTATTTTTGAAAATAGTTATGTAATTATGCAAATGCATATACGTAATAAGTATAAAATAAGTATGAGCATGTTTACGAAGGATGAATCTAACTATAATTAAAACATACATATATGTTATTAAAACACACATGTTGGAAAAGTAAAAAAATAAACGAGGTATTATATACATATACAGAGGATGTCTCAAAACATTCGATTTTTCTTTTAATAAGAGTGGATCTTTGAAACAATTTAGAGACGATTTTTCCATAATGATGTTCAAATATCTCTTTTGAATAATAAGCAATTGAAAAAGAAGAGCTTTTTACAATTACATTTTTCAGTTAATTTTAGATGGAGTTTATTTTTATAAAATTTTAATTTAAGGCTTAATTGCATATATATATATATATATATATATATATATATATATATATATATATATATATATATATATAATAGCAAACATTGAAGAAGCTTGCAAGAAATGATGATCTCCCTTGACATTTTCGCTGGAGGAAAAATTGTCTTTAAATTGGCCAGAATAATTGGCCAATAAATCCTTTATGGAAAAGACAACTTGTAGCATTTTAAGCGGCGGACATCGAGAAGAATGATATTGCTGCTTGACATTTACTGATGATATAACGTGAAAAAAGTCAAAGTTTAATTACCGCGAAATTTATTTTATTTATCAATTTTCACAGACATGTTTTCGTATTTATTCAATTACGTTTAATTTCTTAGTGTTAAATTACTTAGGTATTAAATGGTAAAAAATTAAAAGAATAATTAGATAAAATATATCATAATTAATATTACTAAAAAAATATTTTTATATTTTATGTAGAAAAAAATGTTTAATTTGTTTAAAGTATATATTAAAAGCACAAGCATATATATATATTATAAAATAACCAGATAATAAAAATAAATTAAAAGCTATAGAAATAAAAGCTGTGGAATTTTTGCATTTAATTCTTTTGACAATTTGCGATGCAATTTATACGAAACGGTCCATTCAGATGGATTCAAATTGAATATCAGAATACAGATGGGAATACTGACGACACAGTCAACGCAGATAATCAATTAAAGATTAATTAAACAAAGATTTTTGTACATAAAATCATCCGGGCGCTGCTGTGTGTTCTCTCAACTCCTGGAAAGCCTTCCAATTTGCTCTCATATAGAAACCTGTGACGACCGAACTGTAATTGCGAAGTTTCAATAGTCGAATAAATGGACGAATATTGAAATTTCTAATAGGTTTCGACGTTGCGCTTTCTCCAAAATACACTTGTAATCTTTTATGATGATACATTCGTGTGTATGAAAAGGAATTTCTTTTCGTGAAGACAGAAAAAAGCAGTCTTTGTTAAGACTGATTCTCGATTCTTTTTCTTTTCTCGTGGAA